GCATGTGGATCAAAATTTTTTCACCACTAAATCGGCCATTGAATACTGTCTATGTGACATTATCTGAATTTCCAAAAATCTCACTTTCGTTTTTTCGCCTAATTTCCATGTGGTTGCCCACTGTGCTCATGGGCATATTACTACACGCTTGCCTAGGATTACGCATTCCAGCCAGAATAACGACCAAGGCATGTTTCATATTAGATTATATTTCTGACTAGTTACGTTAGCATTCTGGTATCCACGAAATGATACGAGAAAACATTTAAACTACTAATAGGTTTCATTAGCGTACACTTTAGAAAGCGGAGGTGTCAGCATACGATCACAGGTGCACTTCTTTCGCACAATCGAACAAAAGTCATTATCTCTTAATACAAAAAGAGAAAGCACCTCCCCTTATCTTCATATTCATTTTTGTTTTCTGTCAACATTGACGTGATCAGTCGATAGTACGATGCTAACCATATTCTTCATCTTACTGTCTTTCAATTTATTCATCAATTCTCAACAGCAAGGTCAGTAGTATCGGCAAACCGCATGAACTCTTGATTTTAAACAACCCATCTAAAAAAAGCTATTAGGTGACCGAACTTCAAACGAAAGCGACCAACAGCAAAAAATTGAGTGCAACCACGTAGGACTTTTATAATTTTCTAACATACTTAGAAAACATTGAAATATACCTGGTTTTTGATGGTCCTGTCAGTAACATTTCATGAAGATTCGAATTACAAAGTTAAATTGTATTCTGTTGCAGAGAGCGAACTACTTTTCAAGAAATCATCAATACGTTTCACGAGTTGTTTTAAGAAACGTGACAGATCTTCCATATTCGGGAAGAATCAATTCAGAGTCTCGCGGCTGATCGTATGATAATACAAAAGTGTGCTTAGTTAGATGATGAAAATTGAGAGGTTTTATGAAGAATGAATTGAGATAATTATAAGTGTATCTTTGAACTTTTCACTTCCAAATGCACCGAAAGAACAGACGGCTGTATGTTTCGTCGTCATGAAAGCACTTGGGTCTGGTTAGATCATTTTCTTTGCAATATTACCCATAACTAATAAATAACCCACAAATATACTGAACTCGATTGAGAATCAGATTAACAAGCCAACTAAAATTCATAATTTCTATGCTTGATGCAATGTTTGAAAATCTTTGAACTCAACCTACATTATGATCAAACGAAGTCCACATTGACCAATAACTGACTTAAAGAAAAAAACTCCAACTCTCGACGAGGTTTCAGACGGTTGACGTACATTGTGTTCTTGTATTGAATTTAAGATCTCTCGCAATTGTCTCTGTCTTATAACATCAAATTCTTCTATTGATATCTGTATAGGTGGAAAATTATTAATTGGTCTCGGAGATTCGTTTACGTCTGGTGGGGGCTCACAATCCTATCCACATGTTGCTGCTGGTCTGCTGAATTGGCAAGTACGCAATTATGCCGTTGGTGGGTCCACAACAAACAATATATTGACACAGTTGATATATGCTGCCCATACTGCCATATTGCCCGCTACAACTCATGTTGTTATAACAATCGGTGGCAATGATCTCCATGGACTTTCAAGTTTAGTAAACATCGCCAAACTCAATATCACATTATTTGAACAGCAAGCTGCCAGTTTTAAGCCTACACTCGTTTCCACTTACCAACGGATCAAAGGTGCCGTTCGTCCTGAAACTAAAATCTACGCTTTACCATATGTTGATTTTGTCAGTGTTGGTAATAAAATTCCGTACGAAGCTGAATCCCATCGAGTATTGAAAGCGTTAAACAATTGTGTTAGGAATGCTGCAGCAGACGCTAACATTGGCTATATTGATTCTGTAATATCGTCATTTCTTGGTCACGAAATGTATTCAGTCGATCCATACATCGATAACTTCAACCATCCAACAAATGCACTTCATCCAAACTTGAAAGGCTATGCTAAAATTGGCGAGGTTGTTGCTGCTTACTTACAAGCAAACTGACAAAAATAGAAGCAACAACAACAAAGAAATGCTATGCTGCTCTTTGTTCAGTTTTTGTCGCTGTTTTCGTGATATTGTTAATAATACTAATATATCATAAATATCATTTCTGTCGCATCAAGCACATGCCGTTTTCTTTCTCATATAAGAACAAATTCAAAAGTGCTCGTCTTCGATGATCGTCGGATACATCAGACAAATATTCTACTGTAGCCGATCAAAGATTCTGTAACGACGGGAAGCGAGCGAATTGGCAAGATGTCCAGACAAGAGAGGATAGAACTAT